CCGAAACTATGAGGTCTGAGCCGCTTATGATTCTAGTTACTAACACTATGAAGCGCTCAAAACACAAAGAGAACTCTTACACCAACGATACCCGCCACAAATACATGAAACCAGTGTGCAAATGACAGGAAAACGATTCTCAATCATCCCTGGTTGCAGTACAAGTATCAACCGTGCAGTGTTTTCCACAGTGCGTTGGCAAGGCATTCAGCTTTGGAAATGCATAGCTGGACCACCACAAAATGGTGATGGTACCAGCTCCCGTCCAGCGGACGAGGTCGTGCACATTGTTCGAGCGAACATGAAAAAAACTCTACACCATCCCATGTCAGCAACATCTTGATTTTGCTTCAACTGGACTTGAATTGGCGGCTTGACTCCTTCCCCTTCTGTACTAGCTTCACAAATGAGAATCAGTTTCAAAATCAGCATTTCAGGAAGTGCAACTGTTGGTACATGTCCCACACATGCGCAGCATATGGGATATTATATATATATGTGTGTATGTGTATATATACATATATATAGTGTATATATATATATATATATCAGTATATATCTATATACAGTATATATATATATATATCTAAATACAGTATATATATATATACACTCTATATATATATATATATACACTCTATGTATATATATATATATGTATCCAAACATGTCAAAAAAAGGGGGTACTTCCGCCATCAGGTCGCCCAATCAGAGCGCCGGCCAAGCTGGAACCATCGGCCTGTCAAAAATGCTAGTGATTTAAAGCGGAGACCAACTAAACCAACGAAATTCTACGGGAATATCATGGGATGTACATGTATCTATATCTATATATATATATATAACAATTAAGATGACAGCCGGTGAGGCTGCACTGAACTTCTTTTAAAAAAAAACCTCTGGATGAGTGGCCCCACATATATATATATATATATATTATGTAATTAACCAACAAACAATCATTATGTTTAGTGACGTGTCTGAAAATGCTGCAATCTCCAGTTGTGGCCATTTTATGAACATTCTGATTATTCCTACTATTACCCATAGGATCCATGGTGCTGGTATATATGCTAACATAAATGGGGTATATTGATGGGATCCATGTCCCCATATATATATATATATAGCAGCACCATGGATCCTATGGGTTATTGTTAGTGTTATTGTTATCATCACGTTTACCCCCAGATCGGAGCGACGTGGCCAACTTAATCGCACTTCCGGGGACGGTGTGCGATTTTTCAGCGCAGCCCTACAAAATCCAGCAATCTAAAATGGTTAAGCCTAACAATGGTTATTATATGGTTAATATACTGTTAATGATGATTGTTATTTTATGGTTAGTGATGGTTCATAATAATCTGCTTGGTGGTTGAGCCACCTACCCCTCTGAAAAATCATGGAGTGATTTCGTCAGTTGGGATGGATTATGACATTCCCAACTGAATGGAAAAAAACATGTTCCAAACCACGAAAAAGTGAAGACAACAACCACTGGCTTAGTCAACCTGGAGGCTAAGAATTTGTGTCTGTGAGGCTGTGCGACTAAAAGAGAACCTCAACCTTGACCAGCAACATGATACTTGATGTCACCGTGTATACATATGTATATATAATATATACATACATATCGAAATATGAAACAATCGAAATATGAAACACAAATAAACTTGTTGTAAAACTGTAACACTCAAATTGGATTTGGGCATGGGTCAAAACCTTACAAACCTGATGTTCACATCCCAAATCGACAGAATTGCCGTCTTGTTTGGATGTTCATGGTCAAAAGACACGACGACAAACAATACATCACTGAACTATTACATACAAAAAAATACCATAGAATCTATGACAAACAACTGAGAGAATCTATGGTATTTAACTGTTAATACTAATAATACATTAACTGTTTGATAATACACTATTAGTTAACAAACAACTGAGAGAATCTATGACATGTGCTGTGAAATAACCAGACATGTTTGGTTTTTCTCTGAAAATAATGGGACCATACAGGACCCAATTCCCATGGACCAGTCGTCGAAGAGGGAATCATCTGCCCATGTTTCCCACTCAAACTGCCATATTTTGTGGGGTAAAATCTCCATGTCTGGACAAAGCCCAATCATATCCCATGATATCCCCATATTTTCGTGTGTCAGGTCTCCTCACTTTTTGGGTAAAGTGTCCATCTTTAAACACACCCGTAGTGACAGCCTTCGAAACTCTTATCAATGATGGTTAAATTCTCTTAAATAACTAGTCGGTTCACCCATATTTAAAATGAATAATTTCAAGATGATGGCCATCATCTAAATGGTTCATTTACAGAAGATTCACCTATATGTAAAAAATAGTAAATATTCCATCGCAATCTTAATGGATTTCCATGAAAATCCTAATCAACCACTCTAATTGATGGTGTAACCCCATGAAAATCACACATGATTCCCGTGTGATCTACCCCAGGGTAAACGTTTACATCTGGAAAACCCATCAAGGCCCAGATGGATCTTCCAAAACGGATACCCTCTGGTAAACTAACATAACTATGGAAAACCACCATTTTATAGCTGGGTAAATTAACTATAAAAGGCCATTTTCAATAGCTTGTTGTATGTTTACCAGAGGATATAATCCCATTAGATCACCATTAAACCACCATAAAATCACCATAGCTATGTTAGATTTACCAGAGGGTAATTACACAACACCATGGAGTTGTCCTCAACCATTTTCCCACGAATAAAAAACCGATGAGTTTCCCATCCCCGCCGCCTGGTCGGCCACATCACATCCGCCATGGCTCGGCTGCGATGCTCGAAGGGCTCCGCGCGGGGCCTTGAGTTGCGGCCTTTGGGGGTGGCTTTTGGTTGGTTGAAAAATGCACCACAAAAGCAGGGTGGGAGATAGAAAAACTATAAACACATATAAAAACATAGTTATAATAGTTATCTAACTAAGTATAGTTGGCTATTCTACTTGGCTAAATTGATGTAGAACTCCTATAACTGCCAATCATGTTGGAACGTTTGGGTTTGATTAGGGGGATACGGAGCTACCATTGGGGACTGGTCCCATGGACCAACCTAACTAGGGGGCAAGACAGGCACGACAGGGACGACAGCACCACACTGTGGCACTGTGGGGATGATTGTTCACCAAATATTTGGAGATACAATATATATATATATATAAATATATATTATATATATATATATATCAGAGTACCATAAACCATAGTCATTGGAGTTATAAACCAACTTTGCTATCTTGGGGGCCTCACATGGTATCTATATATATATATATAGTGTGTCTATCGTGTCTATTGTGTATATGTATATATATATATATTGTATCTAGGATATAAAAACATGGATAATATATATATATATACATACACCCTAGAAGTCAAAAGCATGTTAAAACAATAGTCGTTCTCGAAAGCCTATTTTTAAACAGCCTAGGCGGTTTATTTAATAGTCATTCATGGCTCATGCGTTTCACGCCCGTTTCACGCCCGTTTCACGCGTAGGCCATATTTTCCCTTTTCCCAAAGCAGTAGCATCATCAGTGGAGATTTCGGGCCACCAGCCTTTTGTGCGCAGCTCCATTGAGCCTTAGATACCAGTGATTTCATTACCGATCTTTAAGAGTTTTGCAACCAAAATCTTTCAGGCAAGTAGCTGGCGCATTTTCATTCGTGTGCTCAACAACCTGCCATTGGAAGATCTAGAATGAATAAAGTCCAGTGACCTTGGATTTTAGCTAGTGAAATTGGCAACACACTCCCGCCTAAGCCTTCCCAATTTCATTATCCATCGGCACCGTCTTCTTGGATGAGCTTTCAGATAACTTCCTCAGCATCATTCTTGGGTTAATGTAAAAAAGGTTCATCCTGGGTTTCCAAAAAACTATGCGTTTCAGATATAACTCAGGCAAAGTTCCCTTTAACCACTGCATCCCATCCTCATCCACAAAGCAGTGCGTCATTCGAGCATTGGCTCCTTAAGTGCGGTCTACGCGCGCAGCGGTGAACGCAGGACTATATATAGATCTACATACACATGATCAAAAACAGAATCAGACCATGTACAAATCACATAGCTTCCAAGGATCGATGACGCTTTGTATACTTGATCACGTGATAAAGGGCCTTGTTTGGCTATGTGGTGGCAAATGCTTGGATCATGATGGACAAATTCATTTGCACATCGGTTTGGTCCAGCAATTAAAGATTATGATCGAAACAATGAAGGAATATGCTAGCAAACCGTTAGCCGAGATAATCCACTGTAAATCTGTACTTAATCATATAATTAAGGGGCTACATAGGATATGAATAATTGCAATATGCTTTTGACTTCTAGGGATACATCGGTGCCAAGGAGCATGGGCCTTTGGCCGCATTAGCCATTCATGCTTTCCTTGCCTTCAGAACATCGGGGGAACCATCGGGGTAACATTGATTGATGCATCGATCCCTATTTAAAAACATTGTTTCTATTTTGGAACCCCTGAGAAAGTTTAACAACACATGAATGTGTTTTTTAACAAAGCAGGGTTGGCAACCAATGATTTGTTTATCAATCATTCCCCCCGCCTTATAGATTCCTTGCAAAGACGCTTCCACAAAGTCAGAAATGATAGACCTGAATCATGGATGTCATCAGCTTGAGCTTGGCTCCTTGGATCAGATCAGTCGGCCGAATGGTAACCAACAATCTTGGTTCTTGTTAATGATCGATCATTTGTCCCAAAATGGAGGTACCACAAATTTTGAAGATTCCCCACATCAATATATTAGTTAGGATACCAAAATCACGAATGCTGAAAAGCACACATTCTATCTACAATTAATATATAGATTGGATTATACTCTTGCTGGTTGGATATTGTTCCTATGCCCAATACAGCTGAATTTACATTTCCCAATCATTTCCCATTTTTCCCCAAAACAATCCACCAAAATAATCCACCAAAACAGCACAAGTGTCAGAAACCGCGGTGCTCGCTCCATTAGTCCCAGCATTCGGGCCATGTGTGTCCTCAGCGGAGACACAGGCTTGAACATGGGTCATATGGGGGGTTCCCCAAAAAGCACAAGTAAAATGGTAGATAGTGGTCCTGCACAAGCAAACTGTTTTCCAATCCCAATTGAGTGTCTGGGCAACTGCGCACATAGGGAGTCTAGAATCTTCAGCCACATACGATTCCACAAATGCTGCTTGTCGCACACAAGCGCCAAGCCATTCACAAACAACCCTGCCATTATACGCTTTACAGGTCAGCAAGATATCATTCGTGCGCTTCTTCATCAACTTAGTTGGTTTTGAAAAGTCTGAACTCCCAAGTGCAAAACGTCACTCCCAAACGGTTTGAGAAATGGAGTCAAATAGCAAAAAAAAATGCATTTTTTTGATAAGGCACTAGTCCCTCTGTGAATGGTGGCTGGCTGCATGAGATTCTGTTTGTTACACACCAAGACCTGAAACACCTGTAGGCTACCGCGAGCTTGTGAGACATCTTCTCCTCCTTTGGGGTGAAGTAGCCAAGATCGAGCAACATTTTCCTGAGGTTTAAGCAATTCCCTGAATAAAAACTTGGGCGGGCAATAGTTTGGAAGCCACAACATGCCACAACTACATAATTGTATACGGGTTAAAACAGTAAATTAATATTAGATTTTAAGTCCCTGATAAGTGCAACCAAGATGTCAGACAGGCCCCGTTGCAAACGTAGAGGATTCCTAAATGAACCACGTGCATAATGCACCATCGGAGAACACCAGGGCTGAAATTGATCAATGCAATCAGTGGACCTGGGCAAGGGGGTGGTTCCATTTGAGGTCAGTCCTTCGTAATTTACCCGGTCATTTTGAAATGGTTTGAATTGGCAGTTCCACATTGAAAATTATGCTGAACATATCCAAGTGACAAATCCCTTCTGTTGGCATCTCAACGTTCAGAAATTGAGCTAGAGAATATTCGAAAGGTTGCACATCCCATGACGCTGACTCAAAGTTGTAGTATCTATCAGAGTATGGCCTGGTTGATTTTGCGCTACACAGGTGGCATGTGCTACGTCCCTGCCAGCTTGCCCTCATCCTCAGAATTTTTTTCATCCAACTCCAATCTCCACGGATTTCCGTAACAGTGAAGACATCCCGATTTTCACATATTGGGGTGTTGGCCAGTCTCATCATGTCTGGTGGTAGTTGTTCCCCTCTCATCCCAACTGCAGGATGTAGGCCAGAGTACAAAAGGTTGAACGACCAGACTATTTGCCTCAAGACTATGTTCAAACTGTGGAACTTCCATAATCGTGCCTCCTCTATTGTGAATAAGAGGAATCGACTGCATCGTACCGTTTTCGGTCTCCACAAAACCAGGTTCATGAACAATCCAATGACAGATTCCTGTTTCCCATATTTAAGTATCATTGTGGCGCCGTCCCCGTAGAATCCAAGGGGAACGTGTGATTCAGAAGCTTTGCTGAATAACGCCCATTGCTCACCATTGGAGCGAGATGTTCTCCAAAAGTGTTGGACGGCTTTCTTGTCGATCTCCAAACCCGATTTATACAAGTAGGAAATAATCTCATGGGGGTACATCATGTAGTAGGTGGCCATTTCATAGGTTGGCCGCTCTCTGGTCTTGTCATTGACTTTGACAGGAAGTTCAACTGGTCGCATTGGTATCTCTTCCTGATCATGGTTTTATTTGAAGAAAGTATTGCCCCAAAGAGAAGGCCACCCCAAAGAGTACGCAAATGGTGAATGGTAATCACTTGTTAAACATATTTTTTGGAGCATGTGGATTTGGAACCCAACAAAAAGGAACATATGATGGTTGATCTAACCCAAGTTGTTTAGCTAATAAAGGGCCTGTCATCATCATCATCATCATCATCCAAATTTGGCAAACCATTTTTCCAATGGAGGAAGCCCAGGTATTTTTTAGTGGTTTAAAGGGGGAAAACAAGGGAAAACATCCAAAATTAACCTCAAAATGTGTGCTTCGAAGTATCCATCTCTGGCTCTAATACTGACCAAAAGTTTCTGACCTTGTTCGCGTCTGACAAGGAGCCCAGCCTTCTGACTAAAGGATGTAGGCTAAGTTTAAAGTCTTTCGAGTCCTGAAGTTCGGAAGGGGTGATGGCCGAACAAAGTGCTAGCATTGGACCCATCAAGGAATCTAGGTGAGAGTAAAAGGATTTTTCACATGAGTTTAACCATTTTTGAATGGCCATGATACCATCAGAAACTTATTGGTTTATGCGGCCTAAAATCCATTAGTCAATCCCACCTTTAACTAATAGAGCCCATGCGCCAAAGCGGCACAAGGTCCTTGACATGCGCCCTCACATTGCTCACAGCTCTTGCAACCGTCACAGCCTTGGCTGGGTAGAACCCGGACAGGAGTGATAATTATTTTGATGGGGCCAATATCACCGCCAAGTAACAGTGGAACTGACGTCATCTATAGCTTGGACCAATGTCGCCGTTGATGACAGATCAGGTGCACCTGCACCGGGCTCAATTCAAGACCTAACCAAAATTCTAAGTCAGGCTATTTCATTTTGAATGGCTCCAATTTTGTTGATGAAAAGCTCTGGCAACAGTCAGGAGTCAGGGACACATTCCATTTTCGATCCCTACAGCTGAGTGCGATGCTGTATGTGAGCTACCCCATAAGATTTGATCAGGAATTGATCTAAATGCGATGTTCTACGCTGCTTTGCTGTACCAGCATGTGTATTCACACGCCAGCTAGGGGCAAAACAGCCTGCACCACATAGGCCATTGGCCAAGACTCACCCTAGCATATGCGCTGGAAACAACAACTCAGATATACACAGGAATAATACATGGAATAAACCAATATTATTTACAGAGTATTATCAAATTTCTGAATAATTGGCTACACCGATCTGAGTTAACATCATGGGAATCCCAAAGCATGATGCTAGGCCCAACACGGATTGAAGCTAATCATTTCAGATTGCTTCGGGACAAAAAGTCCTTCCACTCAGCGACCAAAGTTTCGGTTTGGCCCATCGAGCTAGTCAAGTCTTCTTCCTGGCGCCAGTTGGGTCAGGCTATTAAAGTCTGATTTTATTGGTTTGCAGTAGATGGTCACACAAAGTCAATGTCGTGTTCTTACAACATGCCCGGACATGGATTTTTGAGGGATGAAAATTTGTGATCATATAATAAACCGAATCTACCAATGTTTATCCATTTTAAGGTGAGCCCCGGCTATAAGAACCCCCAAAATCTTTTCCGCTCCCTGCGCAAGTATGATGATATCGGATCGAATACTAGTACTCTATCTTGCCTGGATCAGAAACATGAACAAACAATATAACTCCAAACCACCAACCACCCCAAAACCTCTCCTTGAAGTCCTGGGAATCCACCAACTTTTGGACTGCATCCCTTTGTTTGGCCAGCTTATTCTTGAACTTGCCCAGGTCGGCTTCAATCGCTTTGCGAACGCCGTCAGACCTGTGGCAAGCTAGCCGCTTCCCACTCAACATATTTGGGCTGAGGTGTACTATATTATAATATTTTTTATATTATATAATAATATATTATATTTTATTTTATTTTTTATTATATCTTAAATTAAATTCATATCAAACATTCTGAAACCATAAGTTGATTGATATTGGATCAGTATAAGATCATAATTATAAGACAATCATAATTTGTCGTGTGGAATCTTTTGGGCACACCTAAGATAATATTATATAATAGAATATTAGCTATCATATTCACCAGGACCCCTGTGAGCCTACATCCCAAAAGTGAGATCAACTAGGCAAGATGGATCAACAGACTTGATTTGCCCTTATTACTCTTTAGTGCCTCTTACTAGCAATCATCCCCTGGATTGCCCTGGAGAAATGCAACTTCCCGTGGCTGTGCTCGCTTGAGGCTGTGGCAGATTGGGAAGCAGTGTCTCCTTTTTGGAGGCTTCGGCGATCTTGCTGTTCAGGCCAGTTACAGCCTGGGCAATGTAACAGGTTTCACAAGGGCCTACCCATTCGGATTCTGAAAATTACCAGTGCTTGGGATGGCATAGATCAAATTCAATACAAATTCTTTGAATTCAGAAATGCTTGTAGGTTGGTTTTGGTTGGACTTGGGGAAATGGAATCTATGAAGGCTTTAGTAGAGGCTAAGAAGTGATCTGGTTGGGTTGATGCTGACATGGAGATCCCTAAACCATCCACCTGCTTGGCTTTGGAAAGTGTGTCCCTTTTCTTCTTTTCTGCGTCTTTTTTCAAATCAGCTGCGCGTTTCTTTTCTTCTTTTTCAATGCGTTTTTGCTCCTGATGGGGGGTCTCCTTTTTCGGCTTATTCTTTTCATCCTTGTCCTTGTTCTTCGATGTCTTCTTTCCCTTCTTGCTTTTCTTTCCCTTCTTTCGCTTTCCCTGCGATCATTGGTGCATTTTTTTTATTTGATATACCTAGTTTATAATATTTATATTATATATGTAGATGGATACGATGTGCTTTGCTTGAGTTGCTCTTGCTTGATTCTGTTATCAAAAAAATATCTCTTGGTTGGTTTAAATTTGCTATCGCTCCAAAACATATTATTAATCATTAAAAATGCATTGGTTGTGAGGCCAAAGTAAAACACATAATGTAATTGATTTTATGTGCATGCATGCAGTTATTGCCCCAAATTCTACCCACCAAGTTTTCTGTCTAGCCTTCCCGCCGGAAGATGTTGATGATGACTCACTGCTTGATTCTTCTGAACTCTCTGATTCAGATTCTGAGGACGAAGTCACTTTCTTTTTGCCTTTCTTTGCTTTCTTCCCACGTGCTTTCTTTGACTTGCGATTCTTTCGTTTTTTGCGGCGGCTGCAGCTGCTTGACTCAGAGTCAGACCCACGCTCCTTAGAAGCATCAACGGCCTTGAAGATGGTGTCAAGGGCACTGTCCTCTGTCTTCTCAATGCCTTCTTTGTCCCAACAAAGGTACAAAGTTGCTGCCTCAACAGGTTCTACACCCGCCCAGCCAAGGATCCACATGTGATGAATTGAAAGCATCAATTTGGGCCATTTTTCCACATGTGGGAGAGTCAAAATTGTTAGCACCTAAATTAATCAAGCTACTTCACTCCTGGGGGCGTCTGGGTTTCTTTTCCATGTCTTTCCTTCCCCATGTGGATCATCCTTCTTGTCATCACAAATTTGATTGGCCAACTCCCAATCGTTCTGATACTTTGCTGCCACTTGTGCACGGGTCATCCATGCCCTACAGCCACGTTTTCGGGTCGCGGAAGATTCACGCAGCTGCACCAAGAACTCGCTTTTGGACCAGTCTCCCTTGCAACTTTCCCACTGTTCTTGCAGCAGCGCCAATTTCTCTGTGCCTTGGTATATATTTCATAAAAAAAAAAGCATATCATAGAATTATTGCATGCTATCATGATGATTTTGCGAATTCCATGCGCGTATGTGCAAAATTTGCTAAAATGGCATCGCGCATATACATTTATATATATATGCAATTTTTATGTATTTGCAGGTGTTCTTTCGGGAAGGGACCCAAAACAAACCAAGGGGCAATACTTTGCAGCGCGTCCAGCAGCATGTATCTCTTTGGGTGAATTTGGACCTAAGAAGGTGCAGGACATTTGGATATATGATCTTTCAAAAAAATGAGAGGTAGATGCCAAGAATAGAGAACATCTACGGTATGGAATATATATCCATAATGTTAATCAGATTTTGCCAGTGTAGAATTCACAACCTGCTCTGCTGAGGGTATGGCTCCTCAAAGATCTGCTGAATTTCATAAACCGATTGTGCGCATCCTTTTCCTCTCTGGTCTTCTCTCGGTACCTCTTTGCAATCTTTTTTCAGGGCTGCCATCCTTAGTGGGTGCCTTAGTGCTGTTTGCCTCAGTTGGTGGTGGTGGTGGCCCACTCCTGGGTGAGCCCGAAATCTTACTTTGATCCGGAGATGGTGTCCCAAGGTTCGCCTGTGTCACTGCCCGTCCCAACGCGTTCCCAACTGTCTGAGCAGTTTTACGATGAGCTTCCTTCTGTCCTGTCGGTGTTTCTTCTTCAGTCTTGGGAGGAATCTTAGCATTTGAGCAAGGTCGAGACCGATCTTTCTTCACTGCTGCCTTTTGAGAACCTTTTCCTTCGGATTTTGCCTCAGTCTGAGTCTTACTTGCTTGCTTTGTCTTCTTCTTCACCTTTTTGGTCCTGGTACTGGAACTCGGGGATGCCTTTCCCTTTGCCTTTGCCTTGCTTGCTTTTGCTTTCCTTTTCGGTTTCGCTTCTTTGTCGGGGTTAGACACGGGCGAGGGGGTCAAAGCCAACTGTTGTCTAGTACACCCAGCGTCCACACTCTCATAGTGACTCGTTCCCCTCCTTCTAATCCTGCTTGCTGGTGTCACCGGGGGAGGGGTTCCTGCTGGGTCCTGGCTCTGCTGTTTCCTGTGCGACTCCATGCTTTTGCGAACATGTTCCCTTGCTGCTTCATCTGTAGCCGGCACAGTGGAGGCAGTGCTGATTCCACCTGGGCTTGCTCCTGCGGGCAATGTGCGGGACGGAGAGGTGGTATTTCAAACCCTGTGTTGTACGTTCTAGAATGTGCTCAGAATTTTATAAATAGTATTTTTTCTTTGTACTATTTCGATCATATCGATCATATATGAAACTG